GGATCCCGTGATTGAAGGATGAGCGGCGCTATATCCTGTCTAAGTGCGAGTTAATCACACTGCTGATCAGCCACTCGTGACCGAACGGTTAAGTGTTCAAACTACTAGCCGGGAGGCCGCGGGTTCGAGACTCTTCGGAGTTTCGTGAGATGCGCACTGATGATGATTCCCAATAAGGATGAAACAGCTGTACAGTGCTTCTCGGCTTTTCAGCATAGATTGGCTTCACTTACAAAACAAAATCTGTTAAAGATCTTATTGAGGTCTCTTGCAGCCGTTGGCATGTTTGCCCATCAACCTAAAGTATGTAGCAATGATCAACAGCTTTAGATTGGCTTCACTTACAGGACAAAATCTGTTAAAGATCTTATTGAGGTCTCTTGCAGCCGTTGGCATGTTTGCCCATCAACCTAAAGTATGTAGCCATGAAAAGTTCAACAGCTTGCATAGAATTTCGGTTTTCTTCGTTTCCGCTGTGCCTGAATTATTCCGAATTATTCCGTTATTGTTACGGTGCGGTTGAATTTGACTGAAGTGAATAGTGATATGACAACAAGCGCAATTATGGCTTCCTCATATTCTACAGCGAAGTTTCTTGGTTTGCTTAGAAATTTGTCAGCATTGCTGGTCGTGTGTGGGTGTGGAAATTACATGTCTCTGCTATGAGCCTCTCACTAATTTGTCCTCAGAAGTTAAATGACTTCTCAGAGTGGAGTCCCCTCATTGGATACTTTCGGTAGTCCGTAGGTAGTCATTAGCTTACGTTCTCCACAGTTCTCAGCTCTTTATTTCGTACGTAGCTTGTAGTGTCCTGTTGGTTCCACGGATGAAGTATAAGGTAGTTTTGTGATTGGTTGATCATTTAAGGACTGTGTGGCTTTTTCAGTGTAATCTGTATGCCCATTATCGCTGTGATGCTTCCTTTGTCTGCTGATAGTATTATGCTTGTTTCACTGATGATGATGATGATGATGATGATGATGATGATGATGATGATGATT